AAAGCAAAGATAAAGTCAGCACCATGAATAAAAACTACCTTCACTACAGCCCTTTTGTATAGTCATTTGACCAACGGAAATACTGTGTTTCTACATAACAGGTTAAAACCTTGTAACTTTGGCAACTGTTGGTGGGCCAAATCAAATGGCTTGGCGGGCCAAATTTGGTCCGCGGGCCCCACTTTGGGCTCCTCTGATGTAAACAATAAGAATGAATATAAAGACAACAATAGCCTATCAGCTAACTCGTGTTACTAACTTACAAACAAAACTTTTTTTTRTTCTAAGCTTTTCGTTGGACTGAGTCTGCGCCTGCGCAGTAGGGCTCTCTGTTGTTCATGACGTCATTGCTTGTCAGAACCCAGGAAGTAGGATCGCGTCGCTGTTGTTTGTGATCGTTGCTCTTAAGATATTTTTGTTTTTGCCTGTTTTTGATTTCCTAACTTGTAAGATATCAAATTCACGGGCCGAAATGGCAACGTTTATTTCAGTCCCGTTGAAAAAATCCTCCGAAGTGGACCTGGTGAAACCGCTGTCGAAGTTTGTCACAGCCACATATCCACAGGGAGAGGACCAAGCGGAGTACCTCCGCGCCGTGGAGGAGTTGAACAAGCTTCGCAGGAACGCGCTGGGAAGGCCGCTCGACAAACACGAAAGCTCGCTGGAGRTCTTACTCAGGTAAACAAACGTGTTCTCAGGCACACGAATCAGCTTCGACGGAAGTAAAACTCGAGACGAACCTTCTTCTGTGGCGCTAAATTAGCTTAGTCTCACCGCACCCACAGTCTGTTAGCGTCTGTTGCTAACATGGGAGCTAAAGTTAAAGCTGAAATGGTAACATAACTTGACTTATTATTAGTTTAAACCGTGAAGTTCTCACGAGGTTAAATGATACATTAMAGGCGAGATAGTCATCATTTTTAATCTGTTTTCATTGTAATATTTCAAGTGAAGGTTAGCAGACTTACTGTTTTTTTTTTTACTGAAGCTATTTCTCAGAGGCCAAACAAAATGACCATTTATTTACTTTCACAAATAAAATAAGGGTTTGACACATAAAATCAGTCGATAAAAGAATCTATACACCGCGTAAGAAAACTACAGTTTATATGTTTTATTTAGAGTTTAATTAAAGTAGCTAACATGCCAAAAAAAAGTGAAATATCCCTTTAACTGATCTGCGAGGATGCCAACTTCAGTGCCGCACAGTCATCCTTGTGTAATAGAATAAGTCAAGTATATGGCAGGCAGTGTTTGAAACAAAAACACAATTCCTTCATTTTTTTTAGTCATCACTTGTCAGCATCATCACCTGCCAGGTTTAACTTTTAAAACATATTTAGCTAATAGTTCAACATTAACTACTTCTTTTACCTTTTTTGAGCTTATAAAAGATAACTCTTCATCACCTTTACAGTTTAGCTGTGAATCTATGGAGAAAGTCCCTTCAGTTTTCCTGCCAGTGTCACAGCTGCTTTGCATAAAGGAACTGTGAAATAAATAGGATTGTGTATGCAAAGTTCCTGTTTCCCAAACCCCATGAAGTGCCACCTGGTGTTTCACCTTGATGATTTTTTCCCCCCCGTATTATTAATTAATTTGGTCTCGGTTAAAAAAGGCCACAAAAACTTAATTAATTGTTATATCTAAAGTAGTTCTCTCACTTAATATTAGGGCTGTGTATTGGCAAGAATTTGGCGATACGATACATATAACAGAGGGGTCACGATACAATATATCCTAATATATTGCGATACTGTAAGCAAGGCAGTATATTATGATATATTGCGATTTTTTTGTCCAAAAATTCTATTAAATAAAAACCTCTTACTGGAAAAAAAAAAAAAGAAAAGCTAATGTTTACTTACAACGCTAATGCTACCCTTACTCTCTGGCGCTCAAGCGGTAGAGGAGCCAAATGTCTGGCTCACTGCTGCCAACTGTGGTCAGAGGCTGAACTACAACATAAAAATGAACAGTTGGCAAGAAGGTTGACATTTTAAACCTTAATAAAAAATCAATACAGGGCTTTAGAATATCGATACAGTATCGGGAAATGAAATATCGCRATATTTCAGTGTATCGATATTTTCTTACACCCCTACTTAATATTAACCAACATTTCTAATTGACATACAGTATAAGCAGACTTTGCCCTTTCATTTTTTTTTGTTTGTTCTGACTTGCTCTTGATGCAATATCTAGGCTTTTATTTTTTATTGTGCTGGTTGTCCCTTATCTTAAACATTTTAGCTGCAGCATTAATATAGCAGCAGGTATGTACTGTTTAAACATTTAAAACATGATTGTGTAAAGTTTTATCAGTAAACAGTTGAGAGTGACATAAAATCACTTCAGATCAATGAGTCAGTTAGGTTTAGTCATGGGATTTCTGACATGCACTTCCTGCGACACCGCTTTCATTTAGGAGTAAAAAAAATCAGGTGTTTTCTTTAATTCACATAATGATTTCAAACTACCAAAGTAACTTTTTAAAACTGATGTTCTTTGAGTCTTCGTTGTGATATTTTTGTCTTTTATTACATATAAACACACATTTTACTGAAATGTTTAATCTGTGAATGCCSATCGGCAGTGAAATCGAGGCTCACGTGTCTGTAATGGATGGACCATTATTAATGACGGCCTCCAGCAGCGYTCCTTGGTCCTGTGTTAACCGTATGCCAGGTAGTCAGAGCGACGGGCCTTTCACAGGCAGAAACACAGCTGAAGTTTCACCATGGAGACCAGTGTTTGCATGGGACATTGTTTTTCTCTGAGACACGCCTCATCTCAGCTTTCCTCTGTTCCTTAAATCAGCTCATTTACCATAAACTAATTGTATGTGGGTAAAATAGTAAAAGAAACCCTCTTGTTTTGTGTTTGTTTGAACTCTTTTCGTTGATTTACTAATGATAGGGGATTCCTGAATATTTTTTCCAAATCTATGAAGTCACTTCTAAAAATAGCTTGTTGTCATCTCGTCACAGACACACGCACTGATAGCACAAAGAGCTGAGAAGCTGCTGACTCAGTGCGTGCACGGCAGTGCACCTGACAGCCTCTGTTTTTTCCTGACTCATTGTCAAGTGCCTGACCAGGCAGTGCTTCCTCGACCCACACATCTGCAGTTAATGCCCGTGGCGGTGTTTATTCTCAATTATCTTTTTTTATTATTAATATTTATTTGACGTTCTCTAATCAAAATAAAGACAAAAACAATGACAGGATCTGGGTTCACATATTGTCCAAAAACTTGTTTTAAATTCTCTTTTTCTCCACAGATATTATGATCAGCTGTGTTCTATTGAGCCTAAGTTTCCCTTCGTTGAAAACCAGGTAATTGATTCAGCACACAGCATGTATGAATGTGGGTTTAAGCTTAATGAAATGATTTGAACAGAGCATGGTTTCCTGTCTGCAGCTCTGCCTAACCTTCACGTGGAAGGATGCCTTTGATAAAGGATCTCTGTTCGGTGGCTCAGTCAAACTCTGTGAG